TAATTGATACTTTAAATAATATGGCATCCAATTATGACGAAAAATTTCAATTAAGCAAATTTTAGCTGTAAATTCACTGCTAACGATTTTGAACTCCAATAAAATGCACGAGGACAATACGTGAAAGGCGGTTGTTATTAATTAGACGGTCAGTAAGAATTAAGCTCTCATAATTACAAATAAGTAGACAGGTAATTTCCAAGTATAGTGTCCGCATTTTTACGGTATTGAAATACTTGCGATGCCTCAATTGCCTTCCCAATGGGTTAGGTTGTGTTACTCATTTACATTTCTCATTTCAAAAGCAGTAACAGTGCTCGCAGTTGCCTACTGCAACATTAGTGTCAGGGATACTGAGAGCATTCAGATTTCACTGCAAATTAGCGAGCAACAACATGCTGGGACGAAGCGTGAGGCACTATGGCTTTGAACTTCAACTTCAATGTAATTTCAAGTTCCAAGCAGCTTGACACGCTCATCTGAATTTCCTTCAGGATTTTCGCGTATTGGTAAACGAAAACCCACCCATGCTGACCTTGGACGCAAATCCACCTGACCTTGCACAACACCGAATTCATTCGTCATATTATTAGTTAATTAAATTGTTTGAGTTTTGTACTTTTCACAATGTCTGTGTATTTCCTTGTACGTTGATATAAATACTGCTCTTGATCATAATTATTTTGCACTAGTTCTTCTAATTAAATCACCTGTTTACTTTTCAGACGTAATTGTTCATAGAACGCATGGGGCATAATACAACCTCACAAAGTGTGATGATTTTACTTGCCACTTGATGGTACACCGACTGACTTATTCTTTAGGAAACGAGGTTATGTCATCACCTCGGTAGTGGCTGATTTCGACGTTAATAAAACATCGTAGCAAGAAGTCTGATATCGCTTCAGACGTCTCGAATTTTGAAAAATGATGTGTTCGCAGACTTACAATTTCCTAGTGCAAATGCGAATCTGCTTTCACTAGTCGAATTCGACAACCATCAGGTGAATTTGACCATAGTCATATTTTTGGACCTTATTAGTTGACGAATCCGACACTGAAGAGCACTTGAACGGTGGTGTGGACTCGCCTTGGGCCTCTTGTCAAATTTAGTTGAATGAAGGTCAATAATTCTGTCAAATTAAGTATTAAGTTGGTACGGATTAGGTGAATTAAACACGCTCCGATAAAGGCAGCACCATTTATATTCCAAAGGCCATTTATACGGGGCTCCATTTTGTATAAGGCCGTAGAATTCACCTACATGGAAACATTAGAACATACAGATCAAAGTAAGTGCGCTGACGTGGTCTGAAGAATATCCGGGAATAATATACCCTATGCATTTCTTTATCACTATATCCCGGCAGAAAAGATTTGAATGAGACACTGACGATGTTTCTCCTGACTCTGACCTTTAGTTTGCCCTATTTATGTCATCAATTTATTCTAAATGAATTGTACAGCACGCACACCAAAATTTTAAGTCATTTTTGTGCCACCTCTGTCACTTGAGCGACAACAAATTAGGACAAGTGATCTTTGGTGTCCAATGTCTGTGGGGGTACGTTGCACGTAGGCGAGCCAAGCGTCAACAGTGCCTCTACTATTGGATCCCACCAACATAATCTAAATTTAAGCGATATTCATTGCTTCATGAGACAAAAAACCGCCAACTGTCTAAACAGGAATGTTTTTTTTTTTTGGAGTGCCTTCCTCATACCGCACCGGGGCCGACGGCTTATGAAGACACGTCCAGGTAGAAGTTCGCAGGCAGAGCGGAACTCAATCGTTTTAGTACTGCAGAAAGCGTGTGATCATTCAGTGTGACACGACGTATATGTAAATAGGAACGCGTGACATTCAATCTTTGAAAGAACATCACTGCGTGAAGCGAATTCAGGATGATCAGCAAAATTCACGTTCGCTCATGTCTAATATGAGCATTTGTTCGCAATCTTGAGCGCATCTCACCTGGACGAAGTGGCCGTCGACGCCATTATCAACATTTAATTCAACCAGAAACTCACTCATTCCAAGCTAATTTATCCCCATTTTCATGCGTTTACATTGAGTGGTTTACGCTTGCGTACCGCAGTCATTCAAATTTGTTCAATTCACGTTCATATTTGATTTGTAAATGTTTTCTTGAACTCTAGCTTGCCCTTAGCTAACTCAAATCATCAGGCAACGAATCATGCGGTTAGTTTTGGCACCACTTTTTCGACAGCTACACTGCCGTTTATTAGTCAAACCTGGATTATGATTACGCATTAAACTCTTTGGATCAATAGGAATAATATATTAGTCTTTGGTGCTCCATTTCGCCTATAATTTAGGCAGCCACAAAGTCCTGATAGCGCTCATCGAACGAGTACCGTCGAAATATTCCCAAAATATGAGCATTTCGCGGGCAGTAGAAAATCATCTTACTGAAATTCTACCAGTTTGTTACCCTCAGATCCAATGTACCATAATAACATCAACAAAATCATTTTTTAAATCACGCCTTACTTCGTCATATTCATCCCTTAGAATGGAATAAGAAGGGGTCTGTGAGCGATGCAGATGGTGCTCAGATAGGCGTAAAAGTAAAAAAAAACAAAAAACCGGGAAGTAGAGGTAGGTTTATTTTTTTATAACAGAGCGTTTCCTCGTCCTTGAATGAAATTGTGTTCGGAGCTCAAGTCAAAAATTATGCTAAGGTGCTTCATACAACGTTTAAATTTATTATTTTTTTCCTGAATTTATGATGACATAAGGAGAAGACCAACTCATATTTGACCACCTGCATTGTACGATCGTCCGATAACAAAGCCTACCACATGCTCATTTTCGAATACTGATGGTCAACACATGGAGTTTAAGACAAAGGGTTTTCCCAGTGCAATCTAAGCGAAATGATTAATAAGCCTTAAAAGGTACGAAGTCTAAATTATTAACTCGACGGACTGTCAAAATCGATATCATCAATTGAAATTCTTATTATTTATAGGTGAACAGTTCGAGGACTTGGCCAAATAACTGCGCCTATAGCGTTTTCCTTGTTTCATTAAAGTTTTTTCAAGCACACCAACAAAAATATCACCTCGGCTCTGCGGTAGCGAATGAGGAAATCTAAACATTGAACAGAATTTTACCTAGATTAGAACGAGGGCTTTGTTATTGCACCTGCCAAAGTACTGTCACAGGTTGTCAGGTTACAAAACAAATTTACTGTGGCAAGTAGATAGTCGATTTAATGAACGTTGATGTTAACAGAGTAGCAGATAATCAAGTGACGCCTCTACCTAGCCGAAAGTAAAAAAACTGCCAGTGATTTAATGAAAGAGGATTACAGGATGCTACCAAAATGCCATGTGGTGGAGCACAAAATAAACTACAGTTCTGCCTGAGCGTCGGGTTAGAAGAGTTTAATGTATCTAGAGAAAGAGATTTGATGGAAAGAGCATGCCTTAAACACTCAAATATGCACCGTATAGAAAAAAATAGGGTGGTCATGTTTAAATAGAACCCATTAAATCAAGGCAGTGTTTTTGTGTAGAGGGAACAAGAGTAGGAGGTGGACTATCGACTTTGTTAAAGACGGTTACTGTAGACGATTCTTGGCCGACAGAGAAATCACATCACGCAGAGCACGGAGCAGCCTTGCTGCCGGAACAGAAAATCAGACAGCATGGACACTGCTACAACGGTTGCACATTCCATGTAATTCCAGGGTCCAATGATACGATTTTTCTCAAGTTATAGAAACCCCTTGAACGAATTGACCAACGGCCAAGCATAGCCACAACAGAATCCAAACGTCACAGGATGAAGGCCTGTTGACCACATCATGGTCAAGAATCGCACGACGGCTTAAAACTAATGCAAACGTGCCGACACCGTCTCACGGCATTATTTAAATCCAATAGAGTTAACTAACTACCTTCGTACTACCATGGCATGGCAATGTTTTGCGATGCGCACCCAAGGGGTGCCTTTATGTGAATTGAAATCGAATAGTAGTGTGAATGCAGATATTATCAATGAACCGGAATCACCGACTTCTCAAATAGCCTGACCAGTTTTCGTGGGTAAAAGAAAATCCGACTGATCCTGTGGCCTTGTATTTCTGTCAAACAAGGGCGAAAACATCTCTAATGGTCCTTTACTGCAGTGTATCTCGTATCAAAAATGCAGCAGAGGCCAAACTTCATAGTAGAAAATACCACCCCGTTGCCAGTCTGATCGGCATTAGGCTGGTTTTACATGTCCGGAAGAGATAAATGGTGATCCGAATAGGCCACCAAGTCGAACCTAGTGACGTTCTTGCCAGTGTGGTCACCTCTGATGTCCAAATCACTAAGACCAGTATGGGGTCATTCCTTTAGTTAATACCATTATTAGTTCCACTTACGTTCATAATCCCCTCAATCTACGAGTCACCGTTTCGACAACCTTAGCCATCGGAAAAAGCTTGTCACACACACACGTACTTATGGCGGAAGACGATATTCCGTTGGCAATTCTGCACCATTACCACGCGACAACAAAATCAATCGGAGTGGGTATTTTCTGTCCTGAGACACATTAATTTCCAGGGCAATTGAGCGAACCTACTCTGCAAGTTAAAACACCTAACTTTAGTGATGAGAGCGAGAGTCAAACAACAGTAGGGCCTTGCAAGGGCGCCGATACTTGAAACATCTCATGGTTCTGTGTTTAGCTTCAGCAAAGAGAAGACCAATTACAGGTAAAACATTGGAATAAAAGAAATTAAGAAGGAAAAACAGACCCAGCCCAGAAAAAAATTACCCAAGTATTAATCATTAAAATGCACAAGTGGGAGTGAAGTAAACGAAATGCCAAACCCCTGGATATTTACTTTGTAGAGTTAAAAATACATTAGAAAACTTGAAGACGTGGATTAAAAAGTCTACATGTACAAACGAACTAAAATGTTCGGATAAGACACAAACGTCATTAAGAATCCTGGGAAAGATAAAAGAAAAAGCCACCTATTTGGCTGGAGTACACGAAGTTGCAGCATCGCCTAACTCTGCCTCTGGTTTCATCTGTTCCTTGTGGTTGCATTGCTGCTTCTGAACTTCAACGAGTTGTCTTTGCCGCATTTTAACAAAGAGACTGGGAGAGTCACGTATTTGGGACACTCGAAAACGGTGAGATACCAAAGACCGTCGGATTCTTGCAAAGGGACCACCTTTTCGATTAGCTAAAAGTGATAACAAAAGAAATTGGCAAAAACTATATTCCATGACAATTTGTGTATAATTGAGTAGTATAACGATTAAAACGAAGTAAGTCAGTGTGTCACATGCCATAAAAGCATAAAGTTGAAAAACCTTAAGCAAGTCGGCAATATGACAGGGGTCTAAGCTCAAGCCGTGTCAAAACCACTCAAGAGTATTTCAGAGCACAGACTAACAGACAATTTTGCAGCAAAACATTACTCCTGATCTACAGCAGTGCATATTAATAAGAACTAACGGCAGTGCAACTGTAACGGCCGATTTATTATCGTTTATACAGATTTGTAAACTGCTATTGCAGGTACCAATCTGACAGGTACGGTTAGGGCAAGCGACAGCAAAACAGGCACAGATAACGCAGGTGTGAGCCCACTAACCAAAGCAACTCTTAAATGAAAGAATGGGAATCGGGTACGGTACCTTTGTCACCAGAGCCGTTGGCCGGCAAAGCACCATCGGAGAGAGCAGATTCATTTTCGATGTGATGCACTGAATCATCTTCCGTTAAACAGCCATCAATGGATTCAAACTCAGATGTATCAAAAGGAAGACTGTTTTTAAGCGCTAAAACTAAATTATTAAAATAGGGTTTTACGCTGAAAAATGTCTAGATTCGAGGGTTTCTCCAGTACTATTGGAGTGCGAACAATGCCTTCAGTTGGAGATCGTGGATCGATGTTAAGAAAACTCAGTTTTTTGTTGTCATGATTTAATGGAACATCGTCATCAACCGACTTTTTTGCAGGAGAACTCGCATTACCCATCTCAACTATTGTTCAGACTCGGCGGCCAGATCACCTACCCTAAATCCGAAAAATTAAAACGCGAAGATGTGCATAAAAAAGACTACCATCGTTAGAAAAGAATTGATTTGTATTTTATAGACACAACACATCAATGTAGTTAAGCCAAAATGTTTACTTGACGTGTCTCATCGTATTTTTGAAATTCATTTTGTTCTGAAATAGCCAGAGATTTCAAGATGAATGCGGCTGTAGGGCAGGTGAGTTTTCACAGTGAAATAAGGGTATAAAATAAAAGGTTTTAATTTATGCAGTTTTATTAGGTTTGTTGCAACTAGTTTACAATATTGCAAGTTAACCTTCCGTAGCAACTTAAGAACCGATACGAAATCGACGACAGGGGCAACTAACGCAGCTACGCCTCAGGGCAAAAGAACGACGACCATGTGAGGGTGTGTAACGAGCCAAACAGCAAATAATTAAGAAGGAGTAAGACATTGACTTGTAGACAGCCTCCTCTTCTTGACGGTCAGTAAGTTTAATGCAGAAGCTTAGGGAAATTAATTTAACCATACCTTTTTTAAACCACAGTAACAATTAGCAGGCCTAAAAAAGGAAATAAGTTTCAACTATCCTGCAGCCAATTTACGGTAAGTGTTGTTAGCAATGTGTAATCGAGCGCTTAAGAGAGTCTTATCAAAAGCAACCGAATAATGAAAGCGCAGTGTCAAACTTTGTAGCGGGCCCAGTGCGGTTTCGGAAACTACACAAGGACCGGCAATATACGTTGACACGGCCCGACCAAAGGAAGAGTGAAAAATGCAGATGTCGAGCAGCTCAACTAATTTATTGATGCAGTAGCGGTGTGTGTTGGAAAAGGACAAGAAGTCTACTTGAATAGCTTCTTTTAGCATCGATCTCTAAACGAACGGAGTCACGTGAAGTGTATTCACGTAAATCGCTTGGAACGTGTTTCCTTACGCCTGCACAATACGTTCGCTCACGCCTGCTAACTGCGCTTGCTTGCTGCTCACCACAACTTCAATGTGGAAATACTGAATGAAGCCCAAGTCAACCAATTCTTTGTCTTTGGGTTTTTGAACTTCGAATAAGTAATTAAAGCTGCCAACTAGGGCCAGAGATGGATAATAAGCACAATATACAGAGTGTCATGGTTGGTGTTGGGGCCTCGGATTCACGGAGTTTCAAAAAAACGGGTCCGACGTAGAGTAGGTTATAAAAGCCTGACGTATTTTACTTACCTTTTCTGCACAAAGTTTCGGGTATTCAACAACAATCAATAAAAAGTCTTAATAGGTAACACTGACTCAAGTGCCTAAAGTGATTTGTTGACAATTTAGTTTTGATTTTCTTATCTCTCAGTTTCAAAACGCAAGCCTGTTTTTTTTTAATTTGTGCAACTTTCAGTGCTTTTGAAATTATTATATATAATATGTAGTTAAATTCACAACTCTATACATCATCCTAATCTCAATTTGTCTAAGTGTACATAAGTAAACTGGAATAATATGGCGTGGCCTGGTTTTGTATGGTGGCATTTTGATTCATGTGCAAGACCAATTTGCAAGTACCAAATAAAAAGTTTAATGTAAGGATAATGATTTGGTGAAAGATTAATATAAGGACAATTAGTATAAGGAAAATGTTACACTCTAGGCCATTTAGGCTGCAAACAGATATTTCAACTGTTAAAAAAAATACTCAATATCACAAAAATGCTTGATTTTGTAAAATACCGGACTCACCAGACTAATGATCACGCATGAGAAAATGATTATTTTTTTTAATTATTGAAACAATTTTTTTAAAAAAGTTCGAGATGTTTTCTGTCTATGGTGTGTAGGAAAACTGGTGACCACAAGCCGCCGTTGCATATTTTTAGCTCCAAATTATTGTCTTGCCATTCTTTAATCCGCTTCTACATTCCCTAGCCTTTTTGGTCACATGTATAAGCTTGAGAGGCAGCCACATTACGGAACACATTCACCGGGTACCTGTATCTATGTCTATGAATCCAATTTATTGGACATCGGATGACCACCATGACAACTTCAGTTGGCATCAAAGGGTCTTTACCCTTGATGACCATAGAAGAGAAAGGGCTGGGGTTCGATTTGCGTTATTCGAACGCATCCGCTGCCACCAATGTAGAATACCCGAGCCCTAATAGGTTAAAGACTGGTACAACAGAACAGGCCCTATTGACCAATCAGAAGCCAGAACAACGCATCAGGCGCCTCCCATTCGAGTCCACCACGCTGGCCACGCCGCTCATTATATACTGCAACACAGTTGTGTCTTTCTCTGGTTGGCTGCTTATCTTTCTTGCACGCCATTGGAACGCAGAGAGACACGGGATTAGCTGAGGCCTGGTGGTCCAACATGTCTGCGCCCTAATTCGACGCCACACCACACCACACAACACACCACACAGTTAAACCACACTTCTCTGCACTGCGTCATTAGTACCATCATTAGTAAATTTACGAACTTTACGGTGGTTTTACTTTTTTGTCACGAATATTTTGTTTAATAAGATTCTATATTACCTACTCGGTTTAATGTCTATGTTAATCTCTTCGACCTTGTCGTTCTCTTTCTCCATTTACGATTTAGGTGCATGGCCTTAAGTAGAAGTGATTTTTGTTCTCCGAATGGCCATTGGTATTTTTTTTTGTACTAAACGAATCTAAGTAGTTGTCTAGCTGTTCCAATGCGGAGAAAGATAAATCTCGCACGTTTGCACTTTATCGGTTTTTGTTTACTTTTTGTGTAAAGCGACTTTGCTGCATCATATAATCGTTAAAGATTTCTTAGGCAAACGTCATGATTTTTGAAAGTATTTATAGGTTTGTGGATGACCGTGTTGCAGTTTCCTGCTTTGGTTCTCTTTTATTTCTTGTCATTTTCTCACATTTTTGATGGCAACCTGCTATTCCCATGTCCCTTCTGAATTAGTTAAGTATGTGGCCAGAGTAATTGATTGACTCACAAAATATGTGTAGACCCTTTTGTATTATGTACTTGTACATAATTCAGGTAAAAGAAGTACTCACGCTTGCAGTTGTGATGTGAAGTGGCTTTCATGCAGTTACTAAGTCTCCGAGCCACCTTATACCCTTAAATTGTTTCCACTTGCAGCTTAAGACGGTGGTCTTCACACATTCCATCATATGCACATCGTTTGATACTACTAACTTGTAATGGAACAGGAGCTTCAGGAGCAAGCAAATAAGCTTCAACGATACGAAGCTAAATTAAGAGGTAATCGTAAGCTTCATCTTATATGTTTTTCCACAGATATTATAGCTGCCTATAAAAAGCTCCAAGTTGAAAACGAATCTCTTCAGGATCGCTTACAGGCAGCTGAAAGTGTTGTAAGTACCTATAAGTAATTCAAGGCAACACCTCGGCCTTAAAATATTTGTAGAAGTGGATAGGAAAGCAGGAGGCACTGACAGATGCCAACTCAATATTTTCTAAGAGCTCTGCTGAGTTACAAGAAAAAGGCATTTTTTTCAAACTAGAGTATCTGCAAATGGGGTGTTTGCTTAATTCAGTCCTCGTCTTAACTAACATTTGAGAAACTAGAGAATGCTGTATTGGGCATTTCTCCCGATGCACATATTTTGGTTGTAGCACAGTTGCGTCTGATTGAGTTAAACAAGTCCAAATTTATCAATTTTCATTTGTATACTGCAAAGCGCCTGAATTTTTTGAAATGCAAGCCATTTAATTAATGCGCTTAGTTCTCTCGAGTAGATTCATGTTGAGCATATCGACATCCCATACTTTTAAGTTGCCTCCTTGTTTTGCACGAAGCGGTGAGTTGTCGCCGCTCTGAATCAAGTAATTTTCAAGAAATTGTTATTCGCATTATTTAACTTAACGCTTGTGCATGTTGTTATTCGTTTCTAGCAATCTCGAATTGAAGGCGAATTGGAGCAGAAAACAAAAGCATTGGATGAGCAGTGTACTAGGATCTCTGAATTAGTAAGCCCAAAGTGTTGGAATTGTAGTGCTCTTCTATTTCTTCTCTTGTAGGTGCTTGAGAATGATAAATACAGAAAAGAGGTGGAAACTATCCCCCTTTTGAAGCGAAAACTTAGTCAGTTGACTGGTGATCTTGAGGCTGAGCAGAAGACCTCAAAAAAATTAAACGATGCCCTTTTAGAGGTTAACGAACAACACGAAGCCTCAACCCATTACTTTGAGGTAAGTTGCGTACTTAACAAAATCAGTAGCGATCTTGTGTTGCGTTATCTGGTCTCGGTATGTTACAGACTCGAATATCGGACATCATTTCCACTCTGAAATCCTATCAGGAAATTCACCACAGGGATACAGAAACAATCAAACAGCTTCGATCGGGGAGGGCAACTGAACACATTAAAGAAACTTCCGAGGTACGAATATGTTATTTGGGCAAGACAAAGCTCCATGGGAAGTGACCTTGCGCCACGTTTTTACATTTTCACGCCTTGTCACTTTAGCACTGATGCTTTTACAATTTAATTGCGAGCAATTATGTCTTAGTAATTTCCACTATGCAAACTGAAGGATTAATTGATTCAGTTTCTTGTTAACTACTTTTGATTTTCGTATTGAGTGTGTCCGTCTAAGAAGCGTCCAGCCAATATGAAGTATTCGATCGTAGGACTAAACGTAGGGTAACGCTGCGACTTTTCAAAGAATATTTTTTTTGGTTTTTATTGAATACTTAGTATTTGAGAAAACAATATTGATTTAGTGCGTCTTTGAAAAAGAATCTCTTGTGGATTATGTCTCGCGGATGGTCAACTCCAAAAATAGTGAGCCCGTGTCTTCAAGAATGGGTCTCTTGTTTGATCTCTTAACTCCAATTTGGTCAGCTATTGTTGAACTCAGTTCACTTCAACAACTGAACGTCGAAAAGAAGCTTGTGAGGCATCTTGACTTGAAGTCTGTCGTTCCCACAGAATGTCTTGAAGCCTGCGAGAAGGAAAAGTCAGATTTGAAAGAGGAACTTGATGCTTCGAAGTCGCGCCTCACAGAGCTCCAGGAGCTGACCAGAAAGTCACCGCAAAGCACCTCCCTCGTAAGTTTTGTTCACCGCAACCTCAGTGTGTATGCGTTCAACCTGTTGACGTATTGGTTTTCGCCTCTTAGATGTCACATGCCCTCCGGGCGTCTCTTTCTCTTGACATTAACAGTGCAGACGTGGATAAACAAAAGCTCCAATCCAAACTGCAAGAGGCTCAGGATAATATTAAGCTCCTACGAAATCAAAATCTGGCGATCCTACTTGAGTTAGAGTCGGTGAAGAAGTCAATGCAGTCAAAAATCGCTGGTGCGTTTGTACTCTTTTCTCCCATCGGCGATATAATTTTAAGGGTCATTGACTCTACTAATATTTCAGGTCTCTATATTTGCTTTGTGGATATGTTCAACGATAAATTCGACGTTTCCTTTGGCAACGTGCGTTTCGTTGATAGGAGAAAAGGTGATTAAGGTGCACGTTTTGAAACCAAGCATAATTAGGCACCTCCATTCTTTTGAGTGTGCCTTTGGTAAACTTATAAGTTTAAAAATTCAGGCACCTTGAACGCGCTCTCAAATTCACCAATGTTTTGTTCTTATTCTCCATCGATTTTGCAACTGGCAGACTTAACAAAATTCCGATATCTCAATACAGAATTTAAGTGCTGTTTGATGCAGTTTTTTGTAGACTAAGTGTCAGTTGCGTTACCTAGGTGGGCATGAGCTCGTAATTTGGGACTGTCGTAGGTGGGAGTATTTTCGGTTTGTGATCTTCCATTCAATCACCGTCTACCTCGTAGGTGCGTGTAATGAGGCTACTCAGCGCCTCTCAGAGGCTACGGCGCGCTTCGAGGTCCAGTTGGCTCAGGCTGAGTCCGAGGCACGTCGATATCGGGAGCAGACACTGAGCCTGCTCAACGAGAAGGAGGAGGAAATAGCCGAACTCCGGGCGGCCCTGCTGCCTTCGAGCAGTGCGTCTGCGTCGTCATTTGCCCTCCGGTCTCCCAGTTCCCTCCACGTGGAAGAGCCGGACTCCTCCACCAGCCTCGGTCCCGCCTTTAATGAAGAGCCTGCAACTCACTGCGGTTTGGTGCACTGCGCGGAGAAACACGGTCGACTGTGAGCAAGACATCCTTTTTACATTCGTATCTCTGGAAGCAATAAAATCGTTCGAAAGAGAAAAAAGACGCTCACGTAATCCTAAAGGAGCAGAGGCTAATTATACTATTGTTTTCGGTATAACTTTTTTCTTCCATTGTTCTGCTATTTTTGTCGACTCTAAGAACTGATCAAGGAATATTATTTTTGATGTTGCCGTGGCCAATTTGTTTTACTGTTCTGCTGTTAGGGCAATTTTGTAGATTAGTATTTTACCCACGATTTCTAGAATATTTGTGTTGCCTTGGGCGGCCTTGAAAACGACTCAGGTAAAATTAAAAGGAGCTGATTCAATTGGTGTGTGGTCGATAGTTGTTTGAAAACCGATTCACATAGTCGTGAAGAAAGTATGTAAAAAAATAAATAGTTAATTATTCAAAGGCAAAATGTTTTGGACAATTCTTACTCCTCCAACATCCACTTAAAGATCACAATGTTTCTTGGGATCAACCTAGTAGTTTCTGTTGATAGTGTCTGCGATCAATCCAGGGTTAGTTGATCCGCTCTGGTGAGACTTTTGCCACTAACGCAGGTTATCTTGTTGTTTGTGCGAATCAGAATGACATTAAAAATAAACGACTTGCAGAAATTTTACAAACGGAGGTTATTAAAAACACGAATTACCCTTTTTTACAAATCTTGGTCAGCATTGAATAATATTCAAGCACAACCTCGCGCACATTTCAATTTGTACTGTTTAATTTTATTTAACTAGCACCGTTTTGGTTAATCCTGTGTATTGTTTTCCCGTGAGGCAAGTCGTTAAAATGTAGTCTTAACCACAAATAGTGCCTTCTTCTTTTCTATAATTTGGAAATTGTGTTGGGGACGGGAGTTGACGTTTGTTGGTCCATGTCCATCGACCGTTCACGCTTTTTTCACTCCCTCTTTTTCAAGGTTAAAAGCAACTGCGTTGTCGTCATGGTCTCTGTTTTTCCATTATCATTTTGAATATTTGCATTTAGAATTGCCCCAATGCATCGAACGTCACTCTTATGCAAGCCCATTATAGCAAACCCAGTCCCCATATTTGCACAGTCATTACCAGTAATCACCAAATGTTTTTAAATGCCATGTTTTACCTCTAGGTTGAAAGGACCACCAAAAATTGCATATACGTCATTACCTTGAAGCCATTGTTTGTAGGCAGAAGCTTTTCGCACGCCCATGAACTGGCGCTTCATTTCTGTGGTGTATCCCCTCACCATTTCAGGGTCACTGAATTGAAGAAACTTCGCCGTTCCAAGAGGGATTTGGAGCAACGCATTGAGGCTCTGGAGGCGAGGAATCGTGAAGACCGCAAAATCCTACTTGAAGCCAATAGGACAACAAAAACAGAAGCTGCCCCCACTCCTTCTGTAGATGTCAATATGGCCTACGTTAAGAATATCGTTTTCAACCTGCTCTCCTCTTTAAACGCCTCGTCAATTTCATCAAGATTAGCAATAATTAAGGCTCTAGTCATGGCCCTCCATTTCTCCCAAGATGAGGAAAATGCGCTTATTAACGGGATGATGAACTAATTTGTTGTTTTTATCAATTAACTCTGTTTCTTATCGTTTTATTCTGAATTTTTCTACATACACGTGTTTTATTTTGCCCGAATTCCTTCTACTTGGCTCATAGTTGTTTTGGTTTATCTGTTCGTCAGTGCAATTTTTTTCTGCTGAAAGAGTGTGTTGTGGCCAATGGCAGTGGCGATACACAACTGTTGTGATTGACTCAGTAGATTCTCGTGATTGCGGACTAAGCGAGGACAGCAGCAGCAGAAGCAGCCGGCCCACCTTTTAACGAAGGAAGTCTGGGACGAATCGCCAAGTGTCCGTCTGGTCGGGGAACGTACATTTCCTGTGTGCAGGGGCGGTGATGCGTTTGACGATGCAGGATCGCTGAAAGGCTGATCGTAAACGGGTTAGATAAGTCGGCGAGGTTATGAGAGGAACATGCAGAGAGAGTGACTGAGGCCATGAGAGGTCGCCGTCGAATCGGGGACTGGGGCGGGGGAGTGTGGAGGCGTGTGTGCCACTGTCTTTAACGATTAAAATCTTCTGTTGCAGAGGTATGATGAAGTTGGCCTGGATTTACATTTGTGTTTATTTAATAATTCAGATAACAGCTCATGAGGAAAGCGTATACATTTTGGCGTATGGTTCGCTTACAGCTACGGTGCAGAAGTGGGATAGTGTTGAAGGCAAAATTTCAACACACTGGTCCTCGATCCAATGTGATAGTAAAACGGTCACTGCTCTTTGTCGCGATTCCTTGTTTATTGAGAAAAACTGGCATGCAGCAACTCACAGAATTGCCCTCCTCAAGAAATGTCGACTAAGGTTTGACGGGTCAGCTTCGTGACACCATTCAACACCTAGAAGACGAATCGGGAGGGGGAAGCCTGTCTGTCCTGCCCATTCCAAATTACTTTGGACCCAAAATCTTGCTTATGTAACGTCGTCACGAAGAGTGGTCTGGCAATCACACTCATTTTATGTCTAGATTTTCTGATTTTGTATCCAGATTCGAAACTTGAAGGTCTCGTAAATTGCATTTTCTTTATTTTCGTCTATGTTGAATGTGCTTGGAAGTGAACATCTGTGCCTGTACCAAGTCATCGTCAGCATAAATTCGACGAAGACTGAAAACTCTTATCACTTAACTTACGTGCGGCTTTTGGCGCCTTTCCCACTCGTACTCACATGGTCGACCAAAAAATGTTCTAAAAGGTTTCTCAATCACGCCTTTGCTAATCGATGGCTCTGAATGTGGCGTAGTAGTGATTGTAGCAGGTAGTTGTGAACGGCTTTACACGGCAATTTACTGTTGGTTGTGGTGATATGACTGGTGTTGCGGTAGCAGCTTAATTACTGGGGCTATTCATGTAGTGATAACTGCAATAAATTCACGTCGACTACCTTGTTAAACCTAAGCAGTGTGCATTAGACCCAGTACCCTTTTGCTGTATGTTCTACGCAACGTATACCAAGTGTTTAGGCGGTATAATAAGTTTAATGCATAAAATAAAGCGCAAGTTTGCATGAGTGTGAAAATAACAACTGCTGTCTTGCGGATAGATTGAAAAAAAAATTCAAACGCTGGTCCATGTTTACTTATCAGATCTATCCAATGCCAAATGGGGTTCGCAAGTTCTTTTTAAATTAAATGAATTGCCTGTTTGATTATTCAGCAAAATGTTCTAGTGGTTTAGTGATGCCCAATCGAAACTCGTTAACCTGTTTCGCTGAGACCCCTTTGGGACAGGGAGAAGCGCGTACTCTTCATAAATTCAGACATTTTTGATTAATGATTTCGGCTGTGAAAATGGTACTCAGTCGCAGCGTTGCACCATCTGAGAAGGCACCAATAAGTAACTGTATCAAGGTGTTTATTTCAGTCATATGTTTTTAATAATCGATTAAGATACGAAATCAACAGACTAGCGCGTTGACCTTGCCCAAGGGTTGTCTAGAGGCCTAGAAAGTAGACCTCGAGACATGAATGTCTAAGTAGACTTGGACGGTGCAGGATACCAGGTCATAGGCGGCGATTATCAGTCACCGCTTGAAGGGCAACTTCCAGGAGCACACTTTTGTGGATAATTTCTAGAATGTTCGTAACTGCATCGATGGATTGTATAGTCATGCAAAACAAAGTGAAAGAAGTGTACCGGTGAGAAAACAGCTGAGGGGAATGTAACCACAAGAGACATTAGAAATTGAAAATCATAAAGCTTAATTAGAACCGTGGACTTCATGGGAATTACGTGGAACGCATGATTTAAGAGGAGTTTTTACAAGCGCGAGTACCACATCTCGGTCGAGAAAACAAGCAAAAACCAAATATGAAGTATTTTTCCGTACTCTTCTGCAATCGTGTGGCTCCAAATTAAATTGTTTACAACTTTTTGCCATCGATTTATTATTTTTATGAGCAAAATGTGCAATAAATAGGCTGATTCACTGGGCATCATTTATTACTTAGGCGACACGACAGCAAAGTGCATATTAAAACGGTGATTTGTGTTAATGTGCAAATATGATGGATGGACATTTTATATCCTTTTAAATAACTTTAATTTTTTTTAAAACTGCGATCACATTTGCCAGACTTAACCTATTCGATAGTGTAATCACTGAACAATCAGTCCAAAACTTCTAGACTAAAAAGTAGCAGCATTGTTTCCCTGACTAGAGAAATTCAAAAAGATGTCAAAAATACTACAGGTAGATGATTTGGAACACATCAGTTTGGTAAAAATAAATTCGAAGATAAAAATATTAATAAATTATAAAAAGCAATATGCTATTTGACTCCTTAACGCTTTGTCAACAGAGGAACCACCTCAAAATCAATGATTTATAAACATTTGTTTATTTTAGATTTTTCTCCTGGGTAATTGCTGGAAATGTTTCAAATTTTGGATATAAAAATTACCCACAGTCAGCGAAGCATAATACGACAAAACCGGATTTATTTTGTTAAGAAATCGCTTTTGAGCTCCCTTTCCATGAAACAAGAAGCCAAAACTTTGTAGTGGTGGATAGCACTTGTTGATTCAGTCCTGTGAAAAATATGAGCTTGGATTTTAAGTGACCCAAGACCATCAGATTTGTCATAGAAATAAATACCTGCATTGCTGATAACGCATTTTGAGTCACAAGAGTTTTGGAGCACAGACAGGGGCTAGCTTCAAAATCACTAAAGTACCATAATTTAATTATGCTAAGTGAGGGTAAAGTCACTCGTGAAATTAAGTCAGAGGACACAATTGCATTGAACAGGCTATCCTTCATTAAAAATTCGGTCCAGCAGATGACGTTGCCTTCAGCAGATCAGATTTGAGCACAACCAGCATGAAAATGATGAGTACGGTTGACATTGGGATTTAACAGCGCTGCACTGAGTTGCGGCTAATTTTCGTGCAAAGTTTAGCCCAACTTTTGACCAAAATGCAACCAAAAGTAAACAATTTTTACTTTTCATTGACGTAGCGTGCCAGAATAAAATAAGTGTGAATGTCAGTGGATTGGAGTTAAGAGGGAAATCCTCCGTTAGGCGTATTTATATAAAGTACAAATTCGAAGTGCAAACGTAGGCCATAAAGGATCACTGTTACGGGGAATCGGAAACGCTTTCAAAGTATCTGGCATCCATTTTAGCCAACCGCAAAAAAGAAGTTTATCCCCAATCACATTTTAGCCTTAGTTTACATAACGACTAAAAACATCATTCTTCGAAGTAAAAGAGTTGTACGACAGTAAATTAACCTGTTTTTGTAGTCGAAATGGTCAGTGGCTAACAAAAGGACAAAAGTGTTCATGGTAGACTTTAGCAATCAGGGGAAAGTAAGTGAGGGAGCATGCTGCAAATGACTTGGGCATTTACTCCAAGAACGTCTATACTGATGGCGAAAGCGGCATTTTGGAATTACATTTAAAATTGAATGGTTTGTGTTCCGTATTTTAATGACGGTAATTCTTCTAAATTAATTTCCCTTGTGTAACCCAACTTGGCTGCAAACACCGCCCAACCACAGAAACCCCCACGTCTGTGAGTGAGCCATTAATGCACTTTGCTAAATCACTGGTCTCCCTATTTTGTATAATAAATCATCTTTAATAAAAAAAACGCGACATGACAGAATAAGAGATAGTAACTTTTCAAAGAGCAGCTAGTTCTACGACCAAGCACTTCATCCTTTTGACGCATTGATAAACATGTACTGACACAACTAAACTTCTGTCTAAATTGCCCGAAGGTTTTTTTTGAAGAACTCCGGATGTCAAGGAGTGAAGTGTTAGAGCTTCACCTAATGGACAGTAAACTATTTTGGATTAAGCTAACAGGGGATTGCAGCATAAAGTATTTGGAATGCTCAGAAGTATCAGTTCTACAGTAATAAAAATTGAATTTGATTATGTCTTTTTTACACTGAATCTTTCATTTGCAAAAACTTCGAACCTCCTGCTAAAATGGGTTGTGTCTGGCGTTTGTAAAAGCTGCTAACATTTCTATGGCTTTCGCAACCGAACAGAAGTAGTTCATATTGAAAGGTAGCCTCACTTAGTGATTAAGATTTTAAACACAATCCACGTTCAGGAAAGCAGGCACCATTTAAATTTTTTAAGGTGAATAAAATCTTAAAGAATGAGCGTGATGACCGGATCACTTCGAAAGCGTTTGTTTTTTAGAGCACTAAAGTACTTGATTACTAAAAACGTCATGCTTCATTTTTCCACAGTCTCGAATCAACTTAAAACAAATAGGACACATGTTTTTTTTTCAAAAGTGAGCCATAGCAGAAACTGGCCAATTGCGATTCGGGGAATTAATCAAATGCCTGGGATTGGGCACAATCGCAGGGAAACCACAAAAACGTCTCCTCTCTCGTCATGGCGTCGCATGCGCGTGCTTCTAACAATACCAAAATCCTGAAAATCTAAACTTTCGATATAATCGCTTAAATGCCCTTCATGTACCTTTTGGAAGGAATTTATACCTAAGGTAGGCGATGCATACAAGTTTTATC